GGACTCTCCAGTAAATACCTAAAAGTAGCCTAACGGTAGGGAGGTAGTTGTATATGTGGTGGTTCTGGATGCCCTCAACTAAAGGTGATGCATTACAAACTGGAATCAGACGATTTGCAATCCCAAGTTTTCACCACCTATTTTTTTTTTTGAAACACAAGCATTCCCTGGTTTTCACAAGTTCATTTTTCAGAAGACCTGTTGAATGCTTATTTTCTCTAACCAGGAGAAATCCAAAGACAAATTCCACCTTTATTTTTCTAAACATTGAGAAGTGACCCTAGTGCTGTCATTCTGCAGCGAGCCTTTGAAGGGGCAGCGTACAGCCAGCTGAGGTTGGTGCTGTCAGGGTCCTTCCTAGGGGACTGCATGCAGCATCTCCGCAGCAGGCTGCCAGAGATTCAGAATGGTGTCAGCAAACACTGGAAAGAGGTCTTATCTTAGGTTCTATGTACTACCTGGTAATTTCAGAGGTTATTTTTTTGGTTTGGGAACACTCAAAAAGTTTCCCATATTAAATTAATGATCATTGTTTCTTCATTTCCCCCTATTCTGGCTTATAAAGTCTCATCAGAACTCTCTACTTTCCAATAGGTCCTAGTCTGTACATTGACAGTCCAGATGTGGCTGCACAGAAGTACACTGGCCCAAAGGAAAACTTGAGTTGCCCACATGCAAGGTGAAAGATTCTTCCATTGAGCCAACACCTTGGCCGTGTATGCATTTGTGTGTTTGTGTGTATGAAGGTGGAAATCAAAACTGTTTTGGTGCTGACATTTAAATAAAATAATATAGTGTGTACTGGCTATATGTTGGGCTGCTTACCTCAAGGTCAACAGTTCAAAACCAAGAGACACTCCTTGGGAAAAAGAAGAGGCTTTCAGTTTCAGAAATTCACATGAGAGTTCTCCTCTGTCCTTTAGATTGCTATGAGTGAGCATGGACTCAATGGCAGTGAGATGGGTTTTTAAAAAAAATCTTTGTCAGAAGTTAAAGATCCAAATTATGACTACCATGTTGTTCCTGCTCTTGAAGAGGGCAGTCTGACTTTGTGGATCAGAGATATTCTCTGCCTCAACTTCATTTAATCCAGCTGTGATAGGCAGAGTGCTTCACCCTAATTCTAACCGTGACATGGTTTCTCTGACTGAGCCTCCTACGTCCATCCATTCATCACCTTTAGGAGATGGTGGATGAAACCTAAGTGCGCTTTGAATTAGATAAACTGCTAATCCTATTATTGTCCTCCTTTGTAACCGGACTGCCTATCCCAGTGAGTAAATCTATGACAATTCATAATGATTTAGGATCTGCTATGAAAACTTTGAAACAAAAACAAACAAAACAGTTTTTTATATTTTTCACTTGGACCTTAGCTTATTTGTTAAAAAATGAAGGAGGGGGGAGGAGGAGGGTGGCACGTGCTAAAAAAATGAAGCCAGTATTTTCCCTAAATCAAAAGGATTCTTTTGTAAAAATTAAAAGACAAAGAAACAATTTGCAATGAGAATTTATTTAAAATGCCCTGGGGTCAAAGCTCATTTTGATAAAGCCACCAGTTCAAGGAGAGCTGGGGGAAGGCTGCAGTAGGGCCCTTAATAAGGGGATACAAGATGAGCCAATGGGTTATCATCAGCTATGGGTCTTTTACGGATGGTCCAGAGCCAAGGGCAATAGGGTGAGTAAGGTTCCCAGGAAAACCTAAAAAGGT